TTTTAATGGTGAGGTATTTCGATATACTATACGACTCATAGTGGCACTGAAGTTAAGAACCTATACACCTGAATCCATAGGAATCATCCTCTGGGGAACATGAATATTTGCATTAAATGATGTTTCCATGTGTTGGACAAACAGGTGGACAAGATGGACTTCTTGATTAAGAACAAAGTCTGTCATAACCAATGACTGCAGCTTTTACTCCATAGAATGTTCACTGTGCTGAAACTGTAATGATTATCTATCTGGCAGTAAGCCCCACACGTTCATTTGTAATCCCCCAGGATGCCTTAGGTCTTGTTAAATCCGAGCTCTTGTCTTCATGCTCTTCCACCTCTTTTCAATTTCGTTCCTCCTCACTTTGACCTGAGTTCAGCGACCGTCCGCTCTACTCTAACTGATCATTAATAATAAAAGCCGACCGCTCGTGGTGACATTCTGCACATTTAAGCTCGTTACAGTTTACCAGTGTTAGACAATGTGTGTGTGTGTGTGTGTGTGTGTGTGTGTGTGTGTGTGTGTGTTTTTTAGTGACTGTGAGGGCGTTCCCATTAATGTTTCTTGACATCCATCCCTATAGAGTGCAACAGTGACGCCTCTGGTTCTGGAAGTAAATTTCCAAATAATTTTCTCAATTGACGTTTCAGAAATTAAATTAAAAAGTCTGGAACCAGGCCGACCATCTACGAGATGAATTGTGACCATAGAACATTTGATTTTGGAGGTATAAGCCTGTGTTATTTTACGTCGCTGTGCGGTAAAGGTGATGACACGCTGAACGAGCTGATCCTAGTACCCCACATGATTTTCGTGGTAACATTTCCATGGTAACAGTGAGCTCCACCATTCAGAGGTGTCAGTTTTACACCTTAGGATTGTGGGTAGTGTATTTCTCCTTGACATCGCCAGTAAAACATTCTTGAAAATGCAGTTGATATCATACAGACTTTTGGCTTCTACAGTAGCATATAATATTATTTCACAGTCTTACTTCTGGAACCTATGTTGAGACACTTGTTTTCTATTGATCACCTAATGGAAATTGAGTATTCATTTCACCTCGAAGCTCCACATTAATGAAAACCCTGCTATTTTGTGGTTTCCATTTTCTGTCTAATCTTTTTTGCCACATTTTCTACTATTATTCCATATGCAGCAATCTGCCACAGCTTCGAATACGACTATTCCCTGCCCCTCAACTCCAATCTGCCATACTTCCAAAAATAAATACACACGAACTGTATTTTTATTCAGAGTGTGAGATAGTTTTCACAAGAGGATGGTGCTCGAACATTACTGTGGAACAGCAGAAACTGCAGTCAGTCTCACATCTCATGTGTGCCTCACATCATTTACAAAAATCAGTATCTGGTGTATTCAGATTTTGCATAATTCAGAAATGTAAGGTGGGAAACACACTGCCAAAGAAGACAGGATGTAACTCCTGCATTTCCCTTCAGTAATTATTCGATGATTCCACCAGGCTTTGACGTGTAAATTCACAGATCAACTATTCAGAATATGTGATAGATTTAACAGATTCACACCGAGGATGCGAAACATTTGTCCAACAGGAGTGAGCTGCAATCTCCCTCGTGCTGTCTTCATCACTTATATATGTAATTTTAGACGTATATATATATACATAGAGAGAGAGAGAGAGAAAAACACACACACTGTTCATCAGCAGGGGTCCCTGAGTGTGCTGTGACATTATCCTGCTCTTCCACCGTTATTATTGAGCAAAGCCTGTGATTACTGCTGAGCCAAATCCTGTTTGCTGTTACAGTTGAAGGACCTCTCTAACATTTCCATTATACACTGCTTACTATACTGTACCACTAATCAGCATTCAGCAATAGGTTACTATCTGGGCAGAAATATTGAGAATCAAATATATGATTTGACCCAACAGCCACATCCTCTTTTGCATTTCACACTGAGGCCCAGCGCGCTCTTTAAAATGAAGCACAGGTAGTCAATATTAAAAGATCATACATATGGGAATAACTAAAATGTTCAAGAGAGTGAAAAAACAATTCATGGATCCACTCCAAAATTGAACTGGTTCTTCCTTGGGTCATGCCTCCCCCTCCAAACATTTTCATAAAAATTGATCTAGTAGTTTTTGCGTAATCCTGCTGAATAACAGACAAAAACATAACATCCTCCGCTTTTGATATTTACATGAGTTGCTTAAGGAATATTCTGCCCATATTCCTGTTTTTACTCAGCATTGTCTGATTATGACTCACAGCAACATTACATCCTTCACGCCATACATCTGACGTCACTGCCACAGTTTCAGAACCCCAACCTAAATTTTTTTTATGTAAGATGCTGTTTTTTTACATTTTGGTTGTTTTCTTTTTAATTTAGCAAATGTGCCAGCAAAAGTGTAAAGATAGTGAATTTCAGCAGACAGCTCCTAATCCGTCCATTCGGATCAAGTCGTGACAAAGAGGGCTGAGCTGGCAATCAGTGACCCTGTGACTGTAATTGTCTGTTCCCCAGCAATTTTCTATAATTTGAATTAAGCCCTGCTAGTATCTATAAGAGATTTGTGGTGGTTGATGCATAAGCATAATTCCAGGGGGGAAGCCCCTTCACTCAGGGATAAGGTAGGCGGTACAGCGTGGCTGCTGGAAGGCAAACTGCATCTCCTGTTTTAGTGTTATTCCTTGTGACAACAAGCATCTGCCTCGCTGAATAGCTGCTGGGCAAAACACTGAATCCCCAAACTCAATTATTTAAGGATGACTCTTATAATTTTCTGAGCTTCAACAACAAATACACTTTAATGATCAAAACCATGATTGAATTGGTTCAGCGTTGTCTTTGTAGTGAAGCTTGACACATTTCATTCATCTGTGCCTCAGAGCTCTGACGCTGTTCAGAAACATTAAAAACACATCATTGAGCCTCACCTTTGCACTGAGTGACATGTTGTGTCATAAGCATTAACACGAGCTCTGCTAATGCTTGCATACTTTTTTAATCACCAGCTAAAAATAGTCTACAGTAAATGATGCCACATGCTTCTGACCCATTTAGAGCAATTATATAATAATAATAATGATGCAATAATAATGCATAGTTTCTCACTAACTGTGGCTTAAATGGTTTTCATGTAATTTAAAAGGGGTCATTTGTTGTGACACAAATTCACTTGACTTTGCAGTTAGGACTGGGCAGTTAACCCAAAATGTATCAAAACCCACATGTATAGCCTCTCACTGACTTAATCAACAGAGCTCATTAAATAATTGTTAATTCATCGTATAATATCACCCAGCCCTGCCCTGAACTCTCTTATATTTTACAGGTAGTGAGAAGAACGATTTCACATTCTAACTTTAGCCAAAACTGACAACAACTTAATGAGGTCTAAATATGTCAGAAGTCCTGGTTAGAAACCCAGTGGAGACAATCACAAACTTAATTTGTTGATGCTGTTGAACTCAATTCATAAAAATAGATACAACCTAAGCACACCTCCTCATAAAGTGAAATCTGAAAGAAGTCATAGTAATCTATAAAGTGGTTCAGCGGTATTACAGGTAATCAATACAGGGGACTGCAGAGTTTACGCTCCGTGGCCTCGGTTATGTAACTAGAGACCACTGACTTCTCTCTGGAGCAAGGCAAGAAAATTCCCCTTTCGGTAATCGCTGCAGTCCTGGACTAGGAATTTCATCCCACTATAGCCAGAGCAGCTATGATCAGTGATGCTACTCACAAGCTAACACTGAACATCCTCTATGGAACTCAGATGTCAGGTCCACAGATCCAGCAGAGTTCAAATTCTTGCCGACAGAAGCGACAACTTCATGCGAAGACTTCCTGTTGGTGATTGCCCCACATCCTTTTCCTCCCGACATGTTAGACTCTTCTGCCCCTTTAACTACAAAAACTAAACCTGCTCCCAACACCCGGCACCTCTGCCTGAGACGTGGCGCCTCAGTAAGAAATGCACTTTCATCTCATCCAAGCTCCATCTACTAGTGGCCCACTTTGAATCAGGTTTAAGGGCTTCTTTGCTTCGTTGCAGTTTGATAGCTAATCTGTTTGAATGTCTCTCCTCCGCCACGCTGGGTTCCAAGTGTTATATAACTGTTTCCTTTCTCCCAGAGGGGTTTGTCTGCCGTACAACGAAATGAGCTGTGAATCACTGTTCCAACTTTGCATCGTCACTGCTCTGTCACTGAGTCATTTGCATTATGATAATCAGGTTCAATAGTCTTAAACACATTAGATGTAACAGCAGGTTTTGTTCGACATTTGCATCTGAATGTTTTCCAGGTCTCACTCTTTTCACCTCAGCTCCCATGTCTGCTAATTAGTGTGAAAACCAGGAAATAGAGAAGCATCACATTTGTATCTATTTCGATCAGTAAATTCATTTGTGTTGGAAAATTCAACCCTGAGCAATAAGCTCTGGGTTTGTGAATAAATGTCGATTTTATTTAAATCCCTTAGTAACTGTCTAATATTCACAATCAAAAACATTTTATTCATGCATTCATTGATTTGTTTGGCCTCTTGCACTCCTGATAGAAGACTCTTCAGCTGCCGCAGTAAATGCTCCACATATGATCATTAACCAGAAGTCTGTCAGATTTGCTGTGTGATATGGGTTCATGAGAAGCTTTTTGTTTTTGCTCAAAACAGCTGCCTGCTGTGGTGAGAATCAGGGATAATTAGAGCAGGGAAAATCAATTAAAAAAGTTCAACCTGTGGGTTGTAAAGACTTAAACAAATTGCCAACAGGTGCTAAAACGCTCCTAAGAGCTCAGAGTAATTTTCTGTGGGTTTATTACCACAAGAAACAGCTTTCACACAACTTTGACTTCTTTATCCCATTGTTAATATAAAAATATTGATTTTTTTATTGAGTATGACATATTTTTCATTAAAACAGAGTTGGGATGAGATAAATCATCATATATGGGCTGATTATGATGTTTTCTCTTCTTTCGTCTCCTGTGCAGGATTTCAGTCATTCTTCCCCCTCACCTCTGGCCTGACAGACGCACCAGCCCATCACCATGAACTATCTTCGCCGTCGCTTATCAGACAGCAGCTTTGTGGCCAACCTCCCCAACGGCTACATGATGGATCTCCAGAGACCGACCCCTCCAGGTTCATCCACCTCCACGCCTGCATCCCCGGCCACAGAGAGGCGGCAGCCCCCGAGCATGCCAAGCCAGACCCAGGGCTCGGGACCCGGCTCGGGTCCCGGCTCCGGCTCCATCTCAGGCTCAGGCTCAGGCTCAGGCTCTGGCTCTGGCTCTGGCTCTGGCTCAGGCTCCGGCTCCGGCACAGGCTCTGCTCCAGGCCTGGGTGCAGGCTCAGGGAGCTTCCTCAGCTCCTTCTCCAGCGTGGTGAAGAGTGCTCAGATGGCCCAAAACGTCGCCGCTGCTGCACACGCCAAAGCGGCGGCAGCATCTGCGGAAGGCGCCGCTGCAGGAAACAGTCAGCCAGCCAAGCCTGTCATACGCAAGCCCAAGATCCTGCTGGTGATTGATGATCAGCACACAGACTGGTGAGTGGAAGTTCCAAGGTGTTAGCGTGTGTGGAGGTGCCTCGCTGAGCACATGATAGTCGTTTTTCTGCATGTTTGTAAACCCTGCTGCTCATATTAAAAAAATCTAATCTAGTCTTATAAATGAATTGAATGATGCAGGATTTGTTTCACACCAGTACAAAAAATATCTGAACTGTGAGTTCTTTTTCCTGGTGGCAAAAATTGCCATGAAAATGTCCACGTTCACAAGATCACAAAGAGCTGTTGTAACATCTTTTCAGTTCTGCTGCATTAAGCAGTATCTGGAAAATAAAAGATGGCAGCTTGACCTTTGTTTCTAAAAGGTATGAAACAGAATAATTGAGCGATTTTTGGAAGGGTCAAATCAGGTTGATGATCCTCTAGTCTAATTGTGTATAATAAACAAACAAGATTTTACATGTGTACATGGAATCATTTAAAGTGTTGTTAGACTTGAGTCTACCCGAACAGAAAAAAAGGTAATAAATCCCCCTTTAGCTCAGACTGGAGATAGTATACTTAAATTAGTATTTAACCTGAGCTCTAGGCTAACAGTCTCCTTGCTCTCTGTTTAGCTCAAGTATTGGAGTAGTATCAAACTCTCAGCAAGAAAGCATGTGAGTGCGTATCAGTTGTCCGTGAGCTAGTTAGCCATTAAAATCTGTCAGCACATGAAAATAAATTTTGCCTGAGGTGTTAATCATCAGACTTTTAGCTCCAGTGAAATAAAAAAGATCTTAAGGTTCAGCTTCAAAAGGAGTGAGAGGTTTTATTGTTTGTGACAGACTTGTACGTCCTTGGCTTTCGCCGACTCAGACCACGGCTCTTTGTGCTGGAGTACAAAATTGTCATGGTAACAAGAAGAAGGTCCTTTGCTTTAGTGATGACAGAAAAATAAATGAGCTTTAATGAGGAGAGATGGCTCCATCCTTCACCCAACGCACACACATGTGAGCGGCTGATATCAGCTGCCTTTTGCTGCTGCTGAATTGATTTCTTGAGCTGCCAGTGTTTGGCTTACTGAATCGATAAACCACTCTTCCATTTCATGAATTGTTATTCTGTTGCCTGACATTTGCAGGTAAATCGTCCTCGGCGAAACTGTTATTAGCTATTTCCAGCACTTTGAATTTCTTTACTGAATTAGTGGGGATCATTATGTACCGAAGCAACTGTATCTACGGCTCAGTAGGGAGATTAGGCCTCCGTCTAAAAATGATCACTAAATTAAAGCGCCCCGCTGTCAGCCGTTTCAAAACCACAGAAAATTGCTCTTAATTTTCTGAAAAGCCTGGCGGCCTTTTTTCTTCAAGCCAGCTGGCTGAAATCCCAAAAGGGCCCCGCTCCTCTTCGCATCCCGGTGTGTCTGACATGACTCATCAGGGGATCATCCTCCCTCTGAAGCGTCCAGGCCCATCGAGACGCTGTGAGGGAGCGTCTTCACTCTTGAGAGAACAGCAGGGGTTGTTATTCACAGAACCAAACTCAGTAACTTAAAAGAGAGAGTAATGGAGGCTTTGATAAGTGAAGTGGTCGGTCGCTTTTTCAGCAAATGATCAAGAGGGAAAGTTGTTTTTGTCATGGTTGACACAGGAACATCAACACCTGTACAATATAATACAGTGCAGCACCTCTGTAATAAATCCTTCCTTTGTGGACCTTTCAATGTTTTTATGCCTCTATGCCGGCGACAGCCAGCGGCCTGAGGGCCTTATGTTTTTCACTTAGACTCTCGGATCAACTGATCATTTGGTGGCCAAAGATCAAGTTCACAGTGTCTTCACAAAACATTTATTGGCTTTTTGAACATGATATCTCAAGTTTTGTTCAATCATAACTCACATAGGCTCCTTTCACACTAGAAACCTGTTCTCACATTCGTCTGAAGGGGGAAAGCTTCTCGTTGCTCCCTTGAAATCTGAGCAGGATTTTGTGACCTCACAACTTTTATGATTATACTATTAATGATTCGTAAAGATGAAGTAATCTTCAGACAATAGATTTTTTGTGGAAAAATCCTCTCTATCATCTCTTTTATTCAATGCAGAATATTCTTTTGGTCTTTCAACATGCATGGCGCTCATGTCTCATTTAAATATTTCTATTTTAAGAAAAATCCATCTTCTAATTGTAAATGTCTTTATTTTTTAAAAAGATATTTACATATTATAAGTCAAGTTAGAAAAACCTATGCAATATTCCTATATATATAGGAATATTGCATTTTAAAATAGATATTAAAGATCAACTTGGATCAGATTGGATTTGGTTTGTTACTCAGACTATATTTTGTCCACCGAGTGGCACTGTAGCTCAGTGAAAGCTTCACAGAGAAATGCTCATCACCTCTCCTCATGCTGTGTTTCTTTGTGAAGTGAAGGGCTGTGACCAGCAGATGGTGATGTCTGATAACCTCTCAGCTTTTCTGAGGCAGAGTGTGAGTGTACAGATGATCTGTAATGGACAGCATCTCCTGACCGCTGAAGCCATATGCTCTTTTACACCAAAATGATTCTTATAAAGAGTAGATCTTAATGTTTATCTCCATCAGTCCACTTTTTAGTGGAGTTAAGCTGTGTGTCCATATTAATGTAAATCTTCTCACTGGAAGAGAGAGTGAAACCAAGCTGTGTCCTTCATCCAGAGAAAGCTGCACTTAACACTGTTTAGTCCCATCAACCAACCGAGACTGTGTGACCTCAGGGACAACGTCCTAAAGCTCTGCTGGAGCAGATGTGCCATTTATACAACAGGCAACTGTAATTATGAAAATTATATGAAAGTAATAATTAGCATCGGCATTGAAATCATTATGCAAATCAAGCTCTCTCCTTTTCAACCTTAGATCATAGGACTTCAAACTGGGAGGGGGGCCTCCCTATAGTGGTGTGCAGGAGAGTTGAAGGTTTGGTGCAAAGGTAGTGCAAAGACACAATGAGACTGATGCTCGTCAGTTTTCTCAAAACAATCCAAAGTTAATTATCTTACTTCGACACAGTTAATAGTTGTAGCAGCAACAGTGGCTTTGACAATTATTAAAAGACGTACTTACAGGGTCATAGGTCCTTAAAATGTCCACACATAGTCATGATACACATATTTTTAGATTTAGTTTTTATTGATGTGCATCAAATATAAATGTCTATTAAAGAATTGAAAGTCAAAGACAAGGAAGAAGCTCCCTGTAAATCCTGAGCTAGCCTGAGTATCATCAGGAGTATCATCAGGTAATCCAGTGATCTGTGTCTATACATTGCCAATTCTCCAAAATATTATAATAATAACAAATTGAAGATACAAAGTGCTTCACAAGAGGCTTAAACAACCATAAAGCAACAATGAAAATTGAGTTATGTAAAATGAATTAAAATCCATCCAGAGATGATTTCACATACTGTAAAGGCACAATGGTTTGTAGTCACTAATCAGATTCAGGGAACTAGTAAACAGACAGCGGATTTAAGATGGCGTGCAGGTTAGTAAATCCTTGATATATGCAGGGACTTGGATTGTGTAAAGCTTAAAAAGTCATCAATATAATCTTAGAAGAAATATTTTAAGATAAACAAATATAGGGGCAAAGTTGTCTCAATTTAGTCTTTTGAAACCATTGTTCGAGAGACATGACCTTAACACCTTATTTCAGGAGTAAAGTACTGCAGTGTCAACTTTACTTTATTAGTCTCAGAGGAAACTTCAAAAGTACAGGTCTGGTGTGAAAGAAGCAGCTAAACAGTTAACGCTCAACCTCCTGCGACAAGTGCAACTTGTAAAAAAGCCCAAATATTTGGCTGCTGCTTTGGCAACGTGTCCGTGTCATGGTGTCGGCCTTTTCTGTCACAGTGTTTGTTTAAAGACAATGTGAAACCTGCTTTTGGGGCAACTGCATCCTCTTACTGCTGTTGATTTAGGCACATTGGGAAATACAGTAGGTGAACTGTGCAATGCTTCTCCGGTGAAACCTCTGCACAGGGCTGCTGAAAAGAAAAAGTTCAGATCAAAATCAAACCACACTGGCCAAAGTTGTAATTTATTTTATGGCCCTGTAGTGATTCCAGATGTAATCTTGTTTTTTATTTTTAAACCACCAGGCAAAGTCTTCCAGGAGTCAAACAGATGTGCTATGTTTTTCACATATTTCCATAAATCAAAACTGGGGTTCTGTCGTCCATCTGTAGTTACGGCTTTGGCCTGGGCCACAGTAGCTGACAGAAGAGTTTTTATCTGGAGGACAAACTGATCAACAGCTTCAGGCACAGTACAGCGCTGTTCTGCTGTGTTCACAGCAATTTGTAATCATCCACCAACACATATTCTCTATCGGTGCCTAAAGAAAAGCATGCAGCTACATTTGATATGTTGCGAAGAGTATCAATATTTTCCTTCAGACATATGAACATGCATCAAAGCAGAAAGAGAGGAGGGTGTCCGTCCGTCCATCGCTACTTGGCTTTGGGTTGAATTTCCTCCTGGGCATTCCAGCAAAGAGGCTGAGGTCTCTGCGGAAACGGTGCTCTGTCTTGACAGGCTTGGCCTCCAGCAATGACTGATCCACAATAGCAGTACACAGCACTGAGGCAAAGACTCCGAGAGCATCACCGTCACCACCAACAATCCCTCCTTTTCTCTCTCTGTGTCCCTGTGTCTCGCTCTCTCCCTCGCTCTCAGGCTGACATGTGCGACGCTTTGCCAAGAAGCTGTCGATCTGTTTTGCGCCGTGTTCTGAAAGATATGAGCAACCGATAGTTCAACTCAGCCCTTCTGCTGCAAATTCTTACTTCTTTATGCATGTCGGCAGTTCTGCCTGAGCCTCTGCTCGCTCTGAGCCATTTGAAGAGGGTTTTAATTTCATGTTGAGTCAAATGAAAAAGCAGGAAGCCCACACAATGCTGAATGTCTCAAGGGCAAAGAAGAGGTGGAACATCTTATTGTGGCTTCAAGAAAGGGGCAAAAGTTCATTAACTGCAAAGTGCCAAGATTGCACAAGCACTTACTTAAAGTGTAGTCCCCTTATTTCTACTCATTTCTTTTGATCATATCAGAGCATTTCCTGATCCATAAAAATCACATCCCATAAATCTCTGCGTGAGGCTGACAGTGCTGGCCTTACAGCAGTCCTGTAGTTAAATACCATCGTTTTCAGCTATTACCACTGCAGGATCTTTGACAGAAACTTAAGGAAGTTATATGGGGCTCAATAAACTTAAAATTAGGTGAATGTTTGATCATCTAACAGACTGTGAAAACCTCTTCTCACTGTTAGGTTAGGACCCTTTTAATAGATGCAGAGCTTCACACTGACTGCCCACATCCTGTCCTCTCCTCAGTAGCTAACCTCATCCCTCACCGGCTGAGCCCACAAACATGGACAATTTTGTTTGTTGCAATGGTTCTAACAAATTATAATTTGCAGCATTAATGCATCTTTTAAGTTCATTGTTCCTCATCGTTCCTCAGAAGATTGTGGAGACCAAAACCACAGCAAACAAAACATGAACAGGTTAGGTTGACACAACACAATTCATAATCATTATTAAAGTTACTTTGTAACTGTTCAATGTTTATTTACGCTACATGCTTACACGTTAATCAAATAGTGTGAAAAGGTGATAATTTCATTACTGTTTGCAATTTGTTTTTGCTGCCCACAGGTGGCCAATAACCACCAGTTCAATTATAAACAAACTGTTTCCTAATACTAGGAACCATGTGTCATGATGAAAACACGAGCTAAACCAAAACCTGTAAAACTTTATTTTATTTCTTTTGTAAACTGCAGTATTAGCAGTACATCAAGTTTAGAGTGGATCCAAATAGGAGCAATTGTTTTTTTGTTTTCATATTCTTCCTATTAATGGTACAACACAGGACATTTTCTCATGGTTAAAAAGTTAAAAAGGAATTCAGCTCCGTGGTGTTTATGTAGTGGGCGTGTGCACGACTGGGAGATTGAAAGCCCAGACCTCTTTGTGGAGCTAAATGTTTATGTTTAAACACATGTAAAGGGCTTGTTCAAACCAGAGGGCCCAGCAGCCTGTAAATTAAACTGATCACTTGGAGTGACGACATGTTTTGCAATACATTGACACGCATACCATTCATTTTTTTTAGGCAGTGAGCATGTAGGCCCTGCCTCATGCTTCATGGTGGCGGCGACGGTGGTCCAGGGTGAGAGGGGGCATTGCCTGTCTAGTATGTAGGTCAGTAATGCCGAAGATTCACGGCCTCCAAAATTACAGAGAATGAGACGGCAAGGGACCCAAAACTTTAAAAGTCCAACAGCTGGGAGATGTTAACTTCAAGATCCTCCTCAGTGACTGTAATGAATGATAATGAACGGACGTAAAAGGACAGATGTAGGGGGATGAAAAACAAATAGGCAGACATGGGAAAGACAAGCGCAGGAGAAAAGAGGCTTTGTTTGGTGAGTGGCTCTGAGGACAAACGCTGCAAAAGCAAAAAGTGTTTAGTTGTGGGTAAGTTGAGAGGCACTCTAAATCCCCGAAACAGCCTGTCCCAGTAAACCGAAGGCCTCGAGCATGTCCTCAACTGCACACAGCTCCAGCCTGAAGCCTTCAACAGATTGTTCACTGTCCCTCTCTGGTGAGGGGTGAGAGTTCAGTGCTTGTACAGCACTGGGACACAACAATATCAGTACAATGGCTTGGGAATTTGTGTTAGAGAAACTGCAATCCACAAGCTAACACAGGTCTACATCCTTTAATTCTCTTGTCAAAATAGCATGTTATAGGGTAAATATATATTTCTGTTGAGTTGTGGTGTTTCTCCAAAATAAAACTTAATTCCAGATAATGAATAAACAATGACTGTGTTACTATTGCAACAACCTAACAGAAGGTAGGAGTAAAACCTTTGAGAACCTGGGAAAGCTTGAGTTTTTTTGGAGGAGGCAAAGTATTATTGTCACTGTAAAAACAGTCGGTGTTTTCATGGTAAAAATGGATCCAACACATTTTCCTTCACTTACAGCATGGTGGTCCACTACATTGGGAAAAAAAGAATGCTAAAGGTTGACATTGTAGATGTGCCTGAATAAAGGGTTAGGACTGCCATCATCTGATGATGTATTAGCCTCTGGAGGCAACAGCCAAAATTGTACATTTATTATCTGCATATGAATGCAGTGTAGTTAAAAGGCAGATAGATGATGAATTTTTTGTCAATGTGTTTACCCTCTTTTGCTCTTCACAAAGACTTTTTACCTGCGGGAACCTGCTCAAACTAGAAACTGAAACCAAAAGGCCCCTTGGCCCCAAAATCTTGTTATGTTGCTATGTTGCTTCTGCACATTCACATGCAGAATCTGTTGTTAGAGAATGAATATGCCATAAGTGCAAAGATACAAGACATAGCGATGATATCAGACAGGAATGAAGGTTGGTGCCAGTTGGTTGGTCCACCACTTTAGTCCAGACAGCAATGTCTCAACTGTTACTGAATGGATTGCAACGTTCATGGTCACCGTGTGAACTGTAATAACTCTGGTGATGCTGTAAGCTCACCCTATGAGCCATTATCAGGTCAGATGTTTAGTTTGTGCAACACGGGTTCACAACCAAATGCCTGTTTAACTAATGAGATTCCCACTTGTACTTTGTGTTGACTGCTGATGAGCCAATGTTCGCCAACTTGCTAAATGCAGGTTATGAACAATATATGTGGTAAAATTCATTTAGGCCTCGAAGCTCTGCTAGACAATGACGTAATGGGAAATCCAGCGAGGTTTGACCCCGGGTGGGATCTTAGCTTGTCTCACAGACTGTATATAAAGTTGGATGAAGTGCTGATACACGTGATCGACCGATTGCGAGTCATTCTCATTTGTCAATCATGACGTTTGTAATCGTTTTTTGTATCATGAGTTAGACACTTTGCATCCACAACATCTACCACTTTGAAAAATAAACTCAATAAAAATACAAGATACAGATACAAAATCCCAAATATCAGTTTTACATTGACCATAAACCACATGTCAGAATATCACAGGAGAAAATTAAAAAAACAGAAAGACTAATCAGCAAGTTCCCTTTATTAAAAGCACTTTATTTCACAAGCTATTCTTTGCCAAGGGTTTCTGCTCACCAGAAGCCCCGCAAGGTCAGATTCTGTAATCACGGAAAATATGAGTCATTATTTTGTCCGTCTCACAAGGTATTTTGGAAGGTCTGTTGAAATTTCAGCCCTCCTACTATCAAATAAACAAAAGGTTATTTTAAGGTTGTTTTGACTGTTGGGAGAGTTTGCAGCACATGCACCATACTGTTTCTGCAGGCTAGGAAGCCACATGTTGAAGTGCACGTAAGATCTAAACAGAAATCTGTGCATTCTCTATTTACTACACTCTTTGAAACTGGATTGCCATTGTTTAAATTACACATGTGCAGGACTCAAATGGAATAAAAGACTCTTAGTCTGTATGAAAGTCATATTTATTTGCTTGTTCCTTAATGGTTTGACTCTTTTGTTCCCACGCAGGGCGAAGTATTTCAGAGGGAAGAAGCTGAATGGAGAATATGAGATCCGGGTGGAGCAGGTACAGCACATTTAACATAAATTCTGTCTAATGGAATATTTTAATTAATAGTTTAAAAGGTATTTGTCAACATGTTTTACGTTTTCTGCTTTCCTTTAATTGATTAGTCCATGAACTTCATAGGTTAGTCAGAAACCTATCCACAGGTTATACCTCCCACTGGCTTTCATTCACACCAAGATCCCCAGTGTGCAGCCTCTGGTAATTATGTCACCAGTGCAAAATTGCAGCAATTCTATCCTGGTTATTTTGGCTTCATTTTTGTAAAGTGGGAGGAAGTGGAGATGTGTCATCCATCTTTATATCCAGTCGTTGGGTAGAAATGACGCAATTACAAACTCACAACAAGTGCATTGTCACTTTGTCACTGCTGTTCCTTTTGCTGAGTGCATTATTTTCTATATTGAAACCCCATTGTGCATTATCACTCTTATACTTTTATACTTATGATTTTTCTTTTTAGAATACTAAAAACTATCTTATTGAGATGAGGCTTCTTGTGAAAACTAGACTTCAGAGAATTTGAAAAGTGGCCACCTTGACCTCTGTTATCCGATAGGCGTTTTGATATTAAATTTATTCAGATTTATACAATCTTAATGCTAAGCTAGACTAAGCTAATCACCACCTGGATCTAGCTGTACTGAATGTGAGAGTATCAATCCCCTCAACTAACTCTCAGCAGGGAGCGAAGAACCATAGATCACCAAATGTTTTAAAGTAGCTCAATTATAATTCTGCATAATTTTGCCTATATCATCAACAGTGTGCACACAAATATGTTTATAAGTCTAGACACACAGTATTTAGGGTGTGTAGATAACATCTAATTTACCTCACGTAACTGGTGGATTATACATCTGCAAACTATTGTTGAGACTGGAGCTGTCTTTGAAATGGAGTGGTGGGTTTTTATGGGAGAAGGAAAAAGGGACCACAGAACGTTGGACTGGCGATTTTACAGCCTCATTGCTCGACTCTCTACTGTTGTGGTCACATCCTCTCTCGGGGAGGGGTGGCAGCAGGAGTGAGTCCAGATTTTTCTATGAGATGTGATTTCTTTTTTACATTTTTAGTCTTGAGGTGTCACAGTTATTGAACCTCAATAAAAACTGGCAGAGTTAAAGAGGCCTCTTGAGTTAATGTTGTGGGGGACCATACGAGTCCCCCAAAGCTGTGCTTAAAGGCCCACCGACCTACTTACATCTTGTTGGCTCCTCCACTCTTTCCCACATGCCCTGTGCACTGGCGCTAACAAGTCAGTTTGCTAATTGCCTACAGCAGCCAGACTCTTCATTGGATGTTTGTGCACCTCGCTGAGAGCCTGAGGAAGATGGAAACCCAATCTCTGTGTGAAAACGCAGCGACATGCTGAGATGAACTCTTTTAGGGGATGACAATAAAAGCAGAGAGGCCCTTTGCACTTTCTTCCCCTCTCTTCAATCCCATTTTCTTGCTGGCTTTTAAAACATCAATGTAGACTTTATACAACGGCCTGCACCAATTTGAAAACAGGGCACCAACATTAGCTCACTACAATCTTACCTGCTACATTTTGTGTTTTTTTATGTTTACCTATTATGGTAAATATCTATGTTTTATTGGTCTTTCAGTTTGAGAGCAGGACTTTCAGGAAATCTAAGCACAAGCAGGATTTTGAGTGAGAGCATTACAAAATCTGAATGTGAAATCAATAAGTTCTGCTCTCAAACTGAAAGACCTCCCTCTTGAATAAAGGTAGGAAGAAAAAACATGACAATCTTGATGATTTCAGTTCAAAACATCTCCCAAAGCAGATTCTTTTTTTCAAACCATGCCATGATATCATATTCTGATTTTCCTTTCTTTTTTTGGATGGACATTGGACTTGGCCAACATATGCAACATGTCATCTATCATTTGCATGCAGTGTGCCCTCTGAAGCGGGCTCATAAGCCTCAAACAATCATGACTCTTCTCCGCAGTGCTTGCTGCCATATAAGGTACAATCTGTGGACTCACTACAAGCGTGTCATGCTGCAGTGAGGAGCGAGGCTTAATGCCAGTGTGTAAGAAAGAGAGAGAGCGAGCGAGCAGCTTTGATTCTCAGATGTGATAATTCATTTAGGCTGCCTTGCCACCTCTACCTCATGCAGCCACTGCCCCATAGCAAATTTGCGAGCCCATTGTTGTGGCTCATTCCCGCTCATTTCCATGCCCCACTTTGAAGTTTCATTTAGCAGACGCCCGAGGTCCTGTGTTCACCGGGTAACAGTTTCCTTTTTTACCACTAAACCGAAGCTCATGGGAGCACTGCTGGTGGTTCTTTGAGCTTTTATGTGACTCATAAAACACTGCTTTTTCATCACATTTGATTAAAAATGTTCAGTATTAGTTCTTGAGCTCGCAAAGCAGTCGTCACCATTTTATCCGTATGACAGGCAATCAGAAATGTAACATCAGATCTCATGCTTGAGAATTATGAGCCTGTGACTCATTTGCATCATGGGATAAATATTCAATAAGTATCTCTTGTTGATTCTCCTGTGTACTTGCAGTAATTGGCTGATAATTGGCACAGTAAGGGTTTGATAATTGAACTTAAGAATTTATAACGTCAGCATAAGGCCTGAGTATTTGTATTATTTCACCCAATAGAAAGGCAAATGATTAAAACAACTTTTTTTCATATCCAGTATGTTAAACATTACAAATAGCCACATTTCATTGATGATTGTGTATAAATAACACAAATGAGATACAATGTGTCAATTTGTGTTTTTTTGGGGCAAACAAGGATGGATGTTTTCTTACCTATGCTAACTGGCTCCAGACATTAATCAATCTTAATTCATGAACATGATACAAAACATACATTTCAGTTGATACTTGATATCTGGTTCTATTAAACTGTTTATGTTTATTACAGGCGTAAACTTTATCTACAGTACCTATAGTCTATTTTCAGTTATGAGCAGCTGAAAAGCACAAAAATAATTTTAATTGTAACAACTCTTTAAATATGAATTTTGCTTCAATAATTATGATCAGACAAATTAAGGAACGACAAGTGGCTATAATCAGATAATGCACAAACCCACTCTGACAGTAACGTCTGTTATATACCTGAAGATTGCAAACATTAAATGTAGATCAATGTGTAAACACTGAGTGTATCAAATTGAGCAAGGTTGCAACCAATTGGTAATCTTAACATATCCTCGCCACTTTGTTCTCAGACCCAGAGATTTGGTGTGTGTATCCAGGCTAGTGGTGCGTTCCAGAACACCAGAGCTTAGAGGATTAGGTCTTGCCTCCCATGCCTTTCAAGCATCTTGGATGTGAGTAACACAGTGGTGGTGGCCCCTTCATGTTGTCACCAGCTAGCGTTGCTTGGCATTGTCAAAATGAAGGTCTGTTGTAATAATTCTGCAGTCAAAGCCAATCGTGATGACATGATGACACCCGACCAGAGCGCTGCCTGACACTCTGAATATTTACAAGTTGGAAAAGCAGCAATTTACACGACTGCACAAATTAGACAGTTAAATATGAAGAGGCCTGTTGTTGGTGAAAGAACAAGGGCCAGTTCTTCTGTGTTGCCGCACCATGTGTGGTTTTGGGTCGTGCAGGGCGACATCTGCTCGACAGGCGCATGACCTCAGCGCTGTCCACAGTCCTTTCTGCTGCAGTCATGGCAGCTCACAGACAGTTGGCTGTACGTTATCCGTACCCTTTTTTGGCTTGTATTCGCCCATGACATAGGGCATCTGGGTAGAAGTTGGCTTAAGACAGATGATTAAGATCGTTCCTCCCAGACATTTGACTGACCCAGCTGCCCTCGTGCCTTCTGTTGCCCTGCTACATTTAGCATCTGTCTTACATTTCAGCATTTAATGCCTCAATGGATTATTTCACTGTTGTACAAGGTGGGAGTAATTAGCTGCAAATACCTCTCTGTGGTGCATATGAATGGTCCACTGTACCTCAGACCTCTCAATTGCATCAGTATGTGATTCTAGCAAGTTTATCAGGAATTACTAAAACATCCAGACATGGTCAACCAGAATGCATCTGCCCTGCAGACTTCACCTCATGTTATTTCCCCCTTTGCCAGACAACTTTTGACGCATGCACTACAATGTGGGACTTGTGTAACATTTCCCATTCAAAGTATTTTTATCTCAGCCAGGTTTGTGTTTGTCAGAGTTTTCCGCGCAGGAAATAAAGAGGTGAGGAAGTGAAAGGAACACTTAAGGTCGCAGAGAAAACATCTATTTTCAAATGAAAGGAAACCACACAGTATGTGTGTCTGTTTGGGCGAAACATTTTTTATCAACAGCTCCTCCAGCGGGCACCAAACTATCAGTGGATTAAAATGAATGTTAAAAGGAGTATAATGATCATTTGTGGAGCGGAACAACTAGTACAGTTAATTATGGCTCAGATCTGCAAAGACAGATTTTCTTATTGTGCCTTAAGTGGCTCCTTGTTTTAGCTGCCTTATAATTAGAAATCCTAATGATCATCACAAAGCATCACGATAAAGCAATCAGTATTTTTAGTATATAATTTTTGTGTTGTGTGATACAGACCATGTATTTACAGTATCCACAGTATAACATTTCCATTTTTTAATTGCATCTTGAATCATCGAGTGTCACCTCTCACACCTTTGATGACACCTCAGTTGCTTTCACTTCAGTTGACAGTTGCTTTAAACTGACAGTTCAACTGTTTCTTTCTCTTCCACTTGAACTTACAGTTTGTTACTGCTTTCACTTCTCATTCTTGACATTAGAAGTCAACTGCTCTCATCTGGTCATTCACACACATGGACTTAAAAGCTGGGACAGTGTATTGTGAATGTGACCTGGTGTTGTAGCAACAAAAGCAGAGTTGTCCACCTCAGATACATGACCTTGTAATCTCAGGTGTCGTTGTCGTATTAAAAAAGTTTGAAAAATAAATAACAGGTTAAAAAAGCATAATACAAGCAAAGCTTTTATTTAGTCAAGAAACACACTGTGAAATGAGAATGTAGAGTGCTTACCTTTGCCAAGGCAACAGTCCCCTTATGAAAACACGCTTACGTCTGATGGACAAGGATTTTTTTCATCAAGATCCATTATTCCCTGGGAAAATGTAGAAAATGTCAAGAAACACCTAAACTTACAATGTTAAAGAAAGTGATAAAAGATTCCTGGATCAGCTCCCTGATACAGATCCTCGCCAAAATTTAATGGGTTCTTTCTTGGCCCATGTCCGATCCTTCCACCAAGTTTCTTTTTCTCTGCTCTTCACTTGAAATTCATGAAACACATATTTCATACACTTCATATGACAACTCAAACCATTTTTAATGCTTCAGCTTAAACAAATACTTCAACTTCTTTTAGTTTTAAATCAGATTTTAACTGCTTTACAGTATTTCAAATTGAATTAGAATTTGACCATATTTTTACCAGTTAACGGTGGTTGAATACCTTCAATACAAGCATTGCAATATTCTGTTTTTGTAGTTGTCTAGTTGCTCGATATTTTGCAGCTTGACCAGTCCCTCCAAGTTGTTTTTGGACGACAGGACAAAAGATCCTGTTTACTATTTGACTCAGGAGCGAACAAAAGGAAGCAGAACCACATGAATCTCAGTGTAGACAGTAAGTCCACATCTAAAAATACTCCCAAAGATTCCAAACGAGCTGCTGTCGAGTGGTGTTTACTGTACCCTCCACAGGTTCACTTGACATGGCAGTAAGGCCAGAGTGCATGCAGCCCTGCAGTGATAAGTGAGGCTGGCACGGAAATTGTTCTTCCTAAGCTCTTTGGGTGCATTTAACTACAAAACCATGTGTCAGGTACAGAGTACTGTCTGTCAGAATAATAGATACTTCTGATACCACAACTACACAGCCCCTTAAAATCTGTATCTTGTGTGCACAAGTTATTATCTTGTGGCGTCTTGCCCACACATATTTATTGTGTGGGATGTCCAGATCTATAAGGGCTCCATAAACTACTTGTCTAAGGTGCTCCTTTCTTTTAAATATACACATACACATGCGTATTAGCACTATGTTAGCATTTCATTGTGTTTTTTGAGTGTGGTTAAACCTAATGGCAACTATGCTGTCTCCTGTAACTGTGTTCATGCTAACAGGTCAGCTGAACACCAGCCTAAAAGCAGGTCAACAGTTGGGGAAGAATCAGCTCTGGATGCAGTTCTTCCATGTATCACTTCCTGTTTTCCTTTCCCAGGAAAGAGTCGCTGTCTGAATGTGTTACCGTGATGGTAACCATGGCGCTGTGAAAGGCCTCCTGTCCTGGCTTCTAGGCCTGTGTCCCACACCAGCCACTTCATCCATTACCGCCCAATGACAGTAGCTGTAAGAACTCCTCTTACCCAGAACCAGCCAATCAGAGGTGGCGTTGACTGCTCGGCCCTCGGTCAAAATGGTGCCTGCTCTCTGGCTATATCTGGTCGCAGCAAAAGTCAACGTAGGCATCTGTGTTTGGGATGGGATTTAATGAGGAGATGGGATTTGATGAGGAGATGCACTGATGAACCATATGCGTGTGTCTGTGTTTCACAGTGCGTCTGGGTGCGTTATGCATTTAAGAGTGCTTTTTGGCCAGGCAAGAGCTGCTGAGCACACAGATGTTTCTTTCAGCGGCGGGTATCAGTAGAGAGGAGCTGAGAAAAGGATGGGAGCCAAGTGCATGTCCTTGAGGCGCATTGAGTTTGAGTGGCGCCTCGTTGTCCCGTAAATAAGATTACGGCATTTACTCGCCCCCTGCTCTTCCTCTGGGAGAGCAACACAATGAATAAAAGAGGTGGGTGTTTTTTTTTCTCTCTCTCTCTTGCCGTTTTGTTACGTTGGCGCATTCTTTTCAAAACCGAATCACTCCCCCATACGGACTTTACATGGGCCACGGCACTAGATGAAAGGGAAATTTATCTAAAAGAATATTGCTGATAATATTTTCTTTTTATGGAGATGAAAGCCTGTGTAAAGCCTGGTAAAGCAGGCTTAAAGTCTCAAATGATGATCACAGTATATGAGAATGTGTAGATAGAAATTGCTTTAATTTGCCATGGAAATTGGCAGGAGATGGGTTGAGTATAGGGTCAGCTGGAGGATCTGCTTCCATCCCCATCCATGCTGCTGTGTGTGGAGGCTGATGAGTCTGTATGAGACGTGCTGCACGGCCTGAAGCATACAAGGTACAGCAGCTTACTGTAGATTTGAGCTATTGCAAGGCTACTACATACAGCAGGTCATTTAGACAGCTGCTCTTTATCATGCTAGCTGTGAGGTTTTTGTACAGATCACAAAATATTCATTAGCGAAGAGAATAGAGGTTTGCTGAACATTCCAGTGAAGCTCTGAACTGCTTCAAGACTGAGGAAACTCTGGCTTTTACTCAAAAATCTTGATGTGAATTCACAGATTGTTTGTGTCTGATCACTTGCGGGCAGCTTTTTGTTTTGGCACAACTTTACTCTTTACTTATTAAATCATATGTTCACTGTGGAAGAGATCTGTGGGATTGAACCAAAATAGTACAGTTGTGCACAGTTAAACCCAAACAATAAGCTTTATACTTATAGCTATGATACTAAAAAGCTCAGTGTAGTCAACTGCATATATTTTCTTATATTAAACATCGTCACCTGACTCATTACTAATAGAAATATATGAATTAGTGCCATTTTAAAGCTCAAGCCTGAAAAAGCTAAAGGCATGCGGGGCCCCATCGTCCTGATTGGAAGGAGAAAAAAAAGACATCCAGCCACTTTTCATTTTGAAAATCTAAATTTACAAAAGCACAAAAAATGTTTAGTATGCAAACCATCTACAAAGGCTTCTTTGTTCCGTGATTGTTGATTTTTCTTATTTATTTATGCAGTCAGTCCAGGATTGAATCCACTGACCCTGCAGTCACAAACCCATGTCTTTGATTAGATGACTGCCAAAAGCCATTAGCCATGTGCTGTACATGTGTGCTTCCCTCAAAATGCAACACATCCTTCAAGAAGGAATTTGCACTGTCAGTGTTCTTAAGAAGTATAAATAATTGTGTCCACTAACAAAGTTAACGTCTTCATATAACTTTTACAAAACATTTCTGCTGTAGTGCAAAACCACACATTGTGATTGTGTTCTTGTGCGGCCTCCATTGCGGTGTGCTGTGTTCATGTGGCATAAATATGTGTATATAAATATGTGTATAAATATGTGTGTATAACTATGTGTTAGTGGATTGGACACGGATCAAACGAAGACAAAGTACGTGTCAAATACATTTTTCAAGGGTTGTTTCTGTCACTTTAGGGCGTTATTATCCCACTGATGCTGTAAGTTTGGTTTAAATTACTTATTAGATGCTATAAAAATTGGCTAAAATTCACCTGCAGCTGAGACTGAATCACTTTTGGTCGAGCGTGTGTATCAGCGGTGTAACACTAGCAATAGAAGTCTTGTTGCACTGGGTTTGAGTCTGATGAGTAGGTTGGGTCAAGGCAAGTGTGATGCACTTGACTGACACCCCCTTCGGGTACTATTCTACATCACTTTTCAGCTGATTCTATGATTCGCTTTAATCTATAATTTTGAGTTAGTTTAGTTGTGTAACTTTGATATTGTTAGTGGGTGGACTTACTTTAAAAGACAGCATAATGCCTCCTTAACATAAACTTTTTTTCTCACACTGCTTTTTCACTCTTTTGTGAAGGGCCGTCATTATTGTGGCAGATGAAAAGTACATGTGAGGAAAGCTAAAATTGGCTAGATCATAAAAAACTGTTGATTTCTTGACCGCAGTGACAATCATTAGAAAGAAAATTGAGTTGTCCCTCTCTGGTCCGCGTCCATCCAGAAAGTCTATTCCCAGAAATCAATTGTCGCCCCTCCTTTCGAGGATCTCTGGGAGTTTGACTGAGTCATTAGGTAGCCGGGCTACAGCCTTTCACAAGGCCCTAACTGTCCGGGAGGCCACAGACTGGGGATAACTTAATTTGCCTCCTCTCGCAAAGTCCGTCTGTTTTGTGACTCTTGTCTTTTACTATCAGCTTTACAAATGCAAAGATATAAAATGAAGTAAATGAATCTATTGTTGGCTTTGTCATAGATATTCTGTCTGTTAATTATTTTTCAACCTTGCATCTGTTTATATATACATATATATATATATATATATATAGACAATATATTTACAAGTCAAAGCATAACACAACAGGATATTCTTTATTTTAACTTTTTTTTCTTTTTTAAAAGAAGGAAACCTTTAGTATTGTTGTGCATCTTGTCACTGTTGGTGTTTTGTACCTCTGTGTTCCAGGCGGAGTTCTCAGAGATCAACCTGGCCTCCTACGTCAACTTGGGATGCATGGTGGATATGCAGGTCAACAAAGGTGGCAGTAAAGTGGTGAGGTAAGTTGCTCAAGGCCCGACCCAGTGCTCCTTTCCTTTGACGCATTTCCCCATGCAATCTGTGATCTGCCTCAGTGAGCCTGCACAAAGGCTCCAGTTCTTTTCTCTCAGTAGCATTAGGCATGACTCTGTGTAAATATAACACTGCTTGCACTCAGAGAAACCAAGACTGTAATGTGATTATGCCAGTGAAAACCTAAAAAAAGACTTCTCACCCACTAGCTGCAATCTCAGCGTTTTTGTAACGAGGAGGGTTAGTTATCTGTTTTTGTTTTTTATTCCCTTTTTATTGCACTTATTTATACCTCTCATAAAGAACGGTTATTTTTGAGTTAGACTGCTGCGCTGATGCATCTGGAATTAAAAAAACTTGTCATCTTTCAGTGGCCAGACAACAGCTCCTGTTCCAGCAGCAGCAGCAGTTCAACACGTGGGGCTGGGTGTTTAAATAGACTGCTCTGTTATGTGAAGTTGCCACTCAAGGGGATTGCTGATGATCAGCTGATCCGGGTGGCAAAGATGACACCGTGTTCCGGCCTGAATGTGATGTCATTTCATTCCAGGTGGACACACCTGCTGCACAGATTGTGAGCTATCACAGAGTTAGCAGCTACTAAACCGTGTGGATATGAGGAAGACATAAAATAATCGGAGGGTTGGAAAGTTGAAATACAGTACTTGGATGTTCCAGTTGCTTCAAGTGTAAAAGCTAAAAGCACTTTCACTACTTTTTGTAAAGACCCAGGAAATAAGCAGGCTGTGGCCAATAGTCAGGTGTCTGGCAGCTAAAGAGTCAGACATCTCCGTGAGTAGTCGGTGGAGATCAAAACAGAGCTAAAAGCAAGGTAAATATGAGACTATGCAAATAGGCATATTAACCTAATCTTGTTTCTGCTACCCCCATGTGGATAAAATGTGTTGATGCAGATTTAACAAAAAAGATTTGAGTACTAATAATAACAAATACTTCAATCAAAAATAGATAGAGAAAAAAGTTACATCAACATTCGTTAAGAAGAAAATGAAGAAGGCATGTTGCTAACAGACAAGGATGTAAACAATTCAGGGCGTAAAATATACTTTAACATGAGCTTTGCATATGAGCTTTGAAATTAAGAAGACGGCAGTGGATTTAAAATATTTGCTTTAACACTGACTGTAAAAATCTCTTGTTTCTTACAAGATAAGCAATTCATCTTTGTTACTCCATTAATGTCAGCAACGCTTTGCTATTTCACCAACCTACACTCCTTTCTTTAGTACACACGTTCATATTTTTGATGAAGTGACAAAAGAACAATAGCCAGTGATAGTTTACTTCTTCTTGACTGAGCAACAACTGTCATGGCTGATCACGGTGGTTATATAATATATATTTATAGCCTCAATAGTCCTCTGCTTCTCCAGTTTGATAAGAACCTGACTGGTCGATCAGATCGGCTAACAGAGTCCAGTGTCAGCCCTAATTCTCGGCTGTCTGGAGCGTAATCAGCTAATCTGTGCGCTGGCTTGGACTCCACAGTTGGACTTGTGAAATAACTTTGTTATCGGTGGAATCAAGCGAGAATAATCACAGACACAGGGAGTAATGCGGTCCATATAACAATGCAGCCTGTTGTCAGAGCTGACACTGAGGTCATTATTGTGTGGGTTGAATATTTCGGGGATACTGCTGCAATGACAGGAGCCAAATTGGATGCAGATGGTCCAACTGCTGCCTTGTTCACAAACACTGATATTCACTGCCAACTTGCTGTGGTTCAGTTTGTCATTTAAGACTCTGAACAGGTTGTCTTATCTTTCTTTCTCGCAAGTAGTTTGATTGGCTAATGACTTATAAGGTAGAGCGGTTAGAGAGCAATGTAACTGGAAAGGCCAAAGTTTGTTTCCATTAGTTGTTATGTTTTCTCATTGAGTAAGACACCGGAGCTTTCTCAGGATAAAATAATTGGCTAAAACCTCTTGGTATAAATCTGTACTTGTCATAGATTATTGCCAATGAAAGCTAATTATTTCCTCGGCAATGTGTTTTATTCTCAGCCAGGAAAATGCTGTAATATATCCACAGAGAGACAGAGGACAGATAAACGTATTTCCCATGCACTCTGTCATCTTACATTTTGCAGTGTGGGTGTGCATTCATTTGAGGACTGCTTGCAAACAAACTTGTTCACACTGTACGTATTTAAAGCAGGTTCCTGCTTTTCCACGTGTTCCTCTGGCTGTAGTGTGCACAGCACGGTGACCTCTGTCCACAGGCGTGCTCTCCCAACACGTCTGCTCAGCTGACTCCATGCAGCGGCACACTTTCTCACACTTCTGTGGTTGCGCACTTTTTTTATGGTGACAGGTTTTTTCCACTTGTGTCATGTTTACAATACATAACAAGAAATGAATCTACTCAATAGTTGATTTAATGTGAGGACTAAAGGGAGCTGCAGTCTTTGAAGTTAGCATGAACAGCTCTTCACTTCCAGTTGCATAAAAAAAATGTCCTATCATATTTCCTTTTTTCACTTTCCAACATCTGTCTTCAGTAGTGGAGAGCAACATCACTGTTAACGTGTCTGTGCATAGAACCTCCCACTGTGTTGTGCATGTGTGAAAGGCAAACTCTGGGTAAACTCTGTATCCAATTCTCCCACATGTCTGAAAACAGCTAAAAGCTTTGGTTTCTACTGATAGCTGTTACAGAATAAAGACCAGCTGAGCCACCAGTGAGGGTCTTATAATACAATTAGAATCTCAATGTAGTGTGGTTGTTACATAATATAAATACATTGAATGGCTACTCCAAAAAAAATAGTGACTATAAATAGTGCAAAAGATTATAATGTTCTTTGTCCTTGGGATGACAGCATGGTTTGTGGTTGATGTGTTTATTTTGGCGTCATATTGCCACCACCATAATTCTGCCTCTTCTCATAGATTTGTCTTAAGCTACTTTCAAACATGGACTGATTCTGGGGATTCTCCACAGTTTCTGCAGAGGAGATGTATGTGTGAATGCAAATGTCTGAATGAGAGCCTCCACCTGGGCCCTAGTATAAAGTCCACAGAAAGTCCACAGAAGTCGATGTGAGAACACAGCAGGAGATCAACAGACGCAAGAATAAAAAAACAAATAGAAAACAAATTTCTCCAGGTGAAAACGCAGCGTCGCAGACAAAGATGTCCATCAAGTCTGATCGCTTGGTTCCAGAGCAGGAAATTATGAAGTGGAGTTTACAGGCAACTCTGCTATGACTACGTGGCACGTACTGCACAGCCTACATTGAGGCAGAGCAACACGCCACAAGGTACAGTAGTTATGACATGTTGTTCCCTGCTGCACTGCTGTAGTCAGCCCTTTGGCTTCTCCACTCTCCGCTGCCAAAACCTCCAGCAAACTGCTCGGCACAAAGTCGGGAACGCTGGTCTGGCTGAAAGTCAGATGCCAGTGGCCAAAGTATGATAAGCCACAGAGCAGCGTTTTTCTCCTCCACCGTCTTCACAGCTTCTCCTTTGGTTGATAAATACTCTATTTCATTATCAGTGATTAATGTTGCCCAGTAGATGTGTTAACTGTCAGTGACTGAGGGGGTTATTGAGCTTGTCACACTCACTGGAAGTAGTTTTGGGAGGCAGCATCAGCTAAACGGCCAAAATGTGGTGTGGCGGTTTTAATACTGCTGGGAGCTCTCTACCATGGAGCACTGAAGTTAGCGTGGTAAAAAACTGAACTCAATAAAAAGTTATTACTCTCAGAGGGCCCAATTAACACCTCTACACACATTATCGTACCCGTGAGGACACTGATACACTAAACGTCCATGAGACAAACCTCAAGCCAGTCCAACTGGCTTTTTATAAAAAGAACACATTTGACAGATGTGTATGTATTGATCATTACACTTCATAACTTGACGCAGTATTCTGACCAATTGTTTTTCTTTGCAGTTTTGTGCTGCTTCTACCTAACTGCTTCTCAACAGCTTTATAGACTTCACATTTGTACACATTGTCAGAATAACATTACATAAAACATTAATGAATGCTGTACACCTGAAGACTGCCAAAACATCCAGTTACAAGATGATTTATTAAAACTGTGAATATGTCACATTTAATATTAAATCTAGGAAAAGTGATCTCTAACAGTTTTTAGTTTAACTATCAAGAACTTTGAGCTTGCAACAGCATCTTATCCAACAAATATTAACAGCAAAGCTTTATGAAGTAATATTAACTCAAATCAAAATTTAGATTTTATAAAGGCAACTCTACACTTAACAAATGGATTGTAGTCAATCTGTTGCTTGGAAGACCTGAACAAACACATAATAGGAGTTAAAAGGAGCTTAATAGCTCATTTTGCTCACTAGGAGCGGAGCAGTTGAAGTGACAGTGAGATACATGTAGCCTCAGAATCAGAGTGAACTGCCATTTGTTTTCACTTCATTCATCCATAGCCTGCCTGAAATTAGAAGCAATTGAAGCACTTGAAAATAAAATTTCACTTTGATTTTGACTTATAAAGCCTCAGATGCCATTTCCACATACTGCAGCCTTTTCTTTTAATTTACTTCATCAACAGCATCCTCCCAGGATACTGTCAATTCTAATGGCCAGGACCTGCACTGTGGACATTTTTTGTCTCAAAGTATGCACTGAGGGTCAGATTAATTTAGATTATGTCTTTAACTGAGAATTTAGCTAAATTGCTTGATCTATGAAAGCCACCATAGCAGGATGACCAATCAGCAGTGTTTAAAGCAGGACAACCAGAAATGATCGACTTCATCTTGTTGTCGGGAAATATGTGAAAGAAATTCTCACAATAGCTGAAACTAGTGTCACCAGAGTCAGCACTCATGTTAGAAAGTGAGTTTAACATGTGTTCATATGGGTGTTTTGTTTTGTTCCCAATGCCTCGCCACATTCCTCGCCGTCCTCTGCCCCACAGGAGGAGGAAAGTAGGCAGCCAGATTACATTAACAGATCCATGTCTGATTTCATCT